AATCGTACGTAGAGGAGCGCCATGACTGTTGCCGTGCCAGGAAATCGCAAGTGAAGGATTCTGAGTCGTACACCAGAACCAGACTGATTACCGTTTAGAACAGTGTTTGCAATCGAATCGGATCTTGGGCCGAGCTTTCGGAGGTTCCTATTGACTATCGACCATGTCTCGCAATGTTATGCGTTGCTCAGGATGACGCATCATCAGCAGTAAGGTTAGTTATTCGGGAAAGTCCCCGTGAGCGGGGTTCTGCTCACTAGGAGTTCGCTATACGGAAAGCTCACCCCACGAGACGTTCGCTTCACGACAAACTCGCTATACGGGAACCCCGCTATACGAGGAATCACTCGCGCTATAGAGAAAAAGTTAAGGGGGAAGTGATGCTTTCTTCCGATTAGAATCTCTGACTCTCTTCGAAATCAGGGCCGTATCCGAAATGGGAAACACTCTGGAAAGGAACTATCGGAGGAAGAGGCTCCATGAACTGAATGAGAATCGACTATACGCCATTCCCGACTTGGATGGAATAAAACTCATGCTGAAATCCGATCTGATCCGAGTTCTTCTCTTCCTCCTCTCCCATGGAATAGGATGCTGCTGTAATTAGGGCTGCCAGCGGTTCCTACCCGAGGTCCAGGAACCACGGGTTTCGGCAGATCTTCTCGGATCCGGAACCCACCGGTTCTCTCGGTTCCTACCCGCGTCTCCGAGGGGGCGTCACACATCAATCCCGACGTCTGAACCACCATTGATATGCTCCGAAATGAGTGAGAATCCGAGCCGATATTTTTTGATAGCTGAATGTCTCTCTGATGCACGCTAAGAAGGGAAGTACCAGAAATGACCCTCGCGATTTAGACGAGATAGCGCGGGATTTGTAGGTCGACCCGGGTCTCGGAAACCCCCACATTACATCCCGCCAGGTAGGCCCTCTGGACCGAATAATCGGGCCAGCTACATATATTCGGGGGTCAGATTATCCGGAATCGCGAGGGGGCAGTCCTGGTCACTCTTCCTGTGGTCGCTCGAGAGATGAGCGAACTTGCTCTCGCAGCTGGCCGACGTGGACCGTACCACGAACACGGAGACTGAACTCGGCAAATATACCTTTCTGATGGAATAAAATTAATTCGACTCAGGCCGTTGGCTACGAAGAATAGGTAGTCT